AGAGAGAGAGAGAGAGAGAGAGAGAGAGAGAGAGAGAGAGAGAGAGAGAGAGAGAGAGAGAGAGAGAAAAGAAAAACACACTCACGGATATTTTACTGCTTATCAATAGCTCCACGACGTCCGGTCTCAGCGTGTCTCTATTTTTATCCAGAAAACCCTCCACGTTGTACCAAACTTGCCCAGCGTAGTGTTTGATCGCGAACTCGGCGGAGTTCATTCTCGGTCTCGAGTACAACTCGCTCAGGGCGTGATTGTAGTGGCATTTTTCCAAGAACGAGAGATCGGTCGCTTTTGGGAAGTTGCTCTCGTCATCCAGCAGATGAAGGATCCCCACTGGCTTCTTCGCTATCAGGTGTATCACCGGCAAATTGTCCTGTGTATCGAGCGAAAGGAAATTTCTCACGTGGCAACATACCATAAGTATCAAATCACCGATTTTTATGAAATGAGGCAAAAATATGAAATGTAAATATAACAGATATATAAATATAAATTAACAAATTAATATAATAATTTAAATATAAATATAACAAATATGTATATATAATAATATAATAAAAATGTAAAATCGTTGAGAAGAAAACTATCCTCAAAGTTGAGGGTATGGAACATATTTTGTCAAATATCTCGGAAATTAATGATGCCACTGTTTTTGTGTAAATTTTGCAAAAAAAATCTTTTTGTCCAAGCAATATATCGTTAGTTACCACAATGAAGAGAAAAGAAAGACAATGAAAGAAACGAACAGTGTAATTGATCGTCGTCCAGTCGATCTTCTCCTTGGCGTATTCCTGCTGCTCCAGCTTGAATATGTGCTTGTTGAAGTAGAACTGAAGGTTCTCGTTGGCGTAATTGATGCACAGTTGCTCGAGGCTGTTCTCCGCGAAGTTCTCGAAGCCGAATATATCGAGTATCGAGATGGCGGCCGTCTGTTTCGTCCCTTTGTAGACGATGTGATTGATACGAGCGACCAGCCAGGAGAACAGCGAACTGTACAGAGCCTTGGCGAACGCATCTCTTGCGTCCAGAGCCTGGTCGATATTCAGCGCCGTGAAAACTCTCTCGTTTCTTGCTTCCTGCGAACGAGTAAACTCTCAGTTGTTTTCCAATCGGAACAGAGAGACAGCTAGCTTGACGACTTACTGTCGTTTTGGTCGTGAGCGCTCTGATGATCCCATCGGAATTCACTTGAAGGAGATGAGCAGCCCAGCGAATTTCGGCGTCGGAGCCGACCTCCACGCCCTCCTGGCCGTGTCTCATCTGCTTCCGATGAAAGTACACGTTCCCGAGGTGCAACACGCTGGCGAGGATCTTGAAGATCGTGTCCTGCTCCTCGGACGTGAATCCCAACACTTGCATGGCAGACAGGAGGGCTTTGAAGTCCTGAGTGTCGCTCTTCCCATCGATCTCGCAATTCCCACCCTGACGATTTAAATTCAGTGACTTGGTCCGCATTGCGGATGACGTTGAAAGCTGTCGAAGGTTACCTGATTCAGATAAAAGTATTTGTCCGGCGTCAGCAGTCCGTACTTGTCCCTGAGTTGCTGGTCGAGACCAGCCAACAGCTCGTAGAACACGTGATAGTTCCTTTCCTCTGGCGCTTGCGTGACTATCCTACTCTTTTCGAGGAGGTACTGCGTTATCCTTCCCCCTACTATCACTCCGCTAAAAATAATTGGCGAATCGGTTGAATGAAATCTTCAGCTTAATCGTTTCTTTTTATATGACACAGGTCATGCTGATTTTTTCGCACAGCGACTTGAATGAGATTTCTTAATTTCTTAATTGGATAATTGAATGAAGTGTAAATACTGGGTGTCTCGTAACTTGCGAGTACTTTATATACTTTCATATATATAAATATGAAAATATCTTTCTTTTCGACTCATTTTTTTTTTTTTCGCGTAAAATCATCTACTCGGTTACACCGCTATGGGACATTCGAGGTATACATACGAGGTGCCCAAAAATACTATTTCGTTCGTGCTGTTGGAGTCGCGCGAATTTTAAAAACTCCGAGATACTCACTCTCTGAAATATACTTCCAAATACTTTCCAAATCTGCTGCTGTTGTCGTTCCTGGGAGTTTTCGCGTTCCCGAAGCTCTCCAGCAGGGGCGTCGCCTCGAGGATTTGCTCGGTGACGAGATTATTCGGCGCGCGATTTACCGCGGCTAGATACTGCATCACGAGTTTCGTCGATTCCGTTTTTCCCGAACCGGATTCTCCGGAAATGACGACCACTTGATTCGCGCTGGCGTTGTTCGCCGCAGTTACCTGACTGTACGCCGACGAGCCCACGGCGAACAGATGACTGCAATTGCATAAACTTGTATTAATGTATGAAGTATCCTACACCACAGATAGAAACGAAAAAAATGTCGCGTATGAGATGCTTAGTATTTTTTTTTTTTTTTTTAGTTAACTCGAATTAACACTAGAACTACCAAAGTGGACCAATTTATAATTTTCTATGGAAATTTTATACATTTATTGCAGTTTATTATCAGATACAGCACGATAGAAACGAAAAGACGTCGCGTATGAAATACTATAGTATTTTTTTTTTTTTTTAGTTAACTCGAATTAACACTAGAACTACCAAAGTGGAGCAATTTATAATTTTCTATGGAAATTTTATACATTTATTGCAGTTTATTATCAGATACAGCACGATAGAAACGAAAAGATGTCGCGTATGAGATGCTTAGTATTTTTTTTTTTTTTAATTAACTCGAATTAACACTAGAACTACCAAAGTGGAGCAATTTATAATTTTCTATGGAAATTTTATCCATTTATTGCAGTTTATTATTAGATACAGCACGATAGAAACGAAAAGATGTCGAGTAGATAAGAAGAGAAGACTGAATTTGTTGCGTGAATTGTGTGAAGTGTTTAGTATTTTATTTAATTAACTCGAGCTAGTACTAGAAGTACCAAAATGACCAAAATGACCAGTTTATGATTTTCTATACTAAATTTAAATTTTATATATTATAACAGCGTATTATTAGGTACTCGAGTGATTTTTAACAAAGCGTATCAATAGAAACTCGTATGAACCTTGCACTTTAATTCCTTTGCTATAAATTTATTATACTTTAAAGCTTAAATTGTAATGTTGGTAACTCACGGTGGCAGTGTGCCAAGTATTCGTCCCTCGTAGAGTTTCACTTGGTCCAGGCCGTAAATGTCGAACATTTTGTAAGGATTCACCGCCACCAAAATGCTGCCGGTGTACGTCTGTCATTTTTTTGTGACAAAAAAAAAAAAAAAAAAAAAAATTGT